GGTGATCATCGGCGGCCACTCGATCTGGTGCTCTATCGCAGAGAGAAGCTGACACAGCAACTCCAGGGCTTCATCAGGGAGTCTTAAAAGCTGACGCGGCGGCAGTTGGTCGAACCCACTTCCCGTCCCCTCTGGGAACGTCTGGAGGACTTTTTTAAGGTGCTCCAGGGTGGGGGCAGGAGGGCGTTCCCCAAGGTTGAGGGGCCAGGAGAGGGGAGGATGCTTTTCCCCGATCTGCCACCATTTAGCCCATTCAGCCTGAAGGATATCGACCTCCTGCATCGAGTTGGCAGGAGCGTACTGAACCAGCGTAGACGACTGCCATGCATCAGGAAGCTTGATATACTTAAAGAGAGCAGCCGAACCGTTGACCGAGTGCTTTCTGACCCATTGCTCCCACCCGGCCGTCTTGTGCATCGCAGCCGCTCGAGTCAGAGATAAAGCTTGATCATTAGCCATAGCAGACAGCACCTGGGCAAAAGAGTAGCACATATCACAATGCTGCACGTAGTCCAGCATGACGCAGAACTGCGCCATGTAGCCAGACTGAACCAAGGGCGAGGCCTGCAACTTCCTAGCTGCTCGCACGATCTGGCGAGTCCTGCTTAGCGTACATGGGTGGGATATAGCCTGAAACAACTGCGACACGTTTCGCCACCAAATAGCTGGCGGACTGACCCGAGGAAACGCAGGCGGTCCAGGACGTCCAGGAGAAACCCAGCGAAAACGTACGGGCCCACGTCGCCCGCAAAAACCAGAGGCCAGATCGGGGTCGATTTGATAAACCTCAAGCAGCTCCAACTCGGCCGCCGAAATAAACAAGTCCCAAGACTCCGCAATCTGACCAGACTGAATGGCAGCACGAGCGCGGTCCCACCGATGCTCATCAGGTGCTTGACGGGGCCCAGCAGGAACCAGCACAGGAAACCTCTTGGGGACCTGGGCGACGCGAACCTTCACAGACTTCCGAGGCATACGAAGGCACATCCTGACAGGGTAGTGAGGTGCAACTGGAACAGAGTACACAACCTCAGCAGTGGCATACGGCGCAAGCTCACGGCTGACAACAAAATAATCGATCACACGATCGGCTGGACGGCAGGTTCCATCACTGGTGGAGATGATGACCCCGTCAATGGCTGAAACCCATCCGCTAAAATTTAACACCTCAGGCTCCAGGTTGAAGTCCCCAGCCAGAATGAACGGCATCCCCAGGGTCCTCAAAACACCTCCAAGACGACACAAAATGGCCCAGTTTTGCGTGGCTAGCCCGATACTGTGATGAAGGTAGATGCTGGCAATCAGGACGCCTCCAGGAAGGATGCCTCCAAAGTGCAAAAGCCCCAGGCGCCCAGGCTCCAGAGTATCGGGGGTCCCAGAGACAGCCGATAAACCAATATGCTTGGGCACCGAAAGAATGGCTCCACCTGATGTGCCACCTCGTCCTGTGGGCACGGCAGGGAAGACTCGACCACGTCGGCCCTGGCTCCGAAGTTGAGCTTCGAGTGGCTCAGCGTCGACAACATGAGATTCTTGAATGGCCAGCACATCAGCACTGGCAAGGGAGGAGGAGAGGAAAATGTCAAGCCCAGCACGCTCAGTGACATTGCACGTCACAAAAGACCAGGCGCGCAATTCAGAGGGCTCAGTGCTACCCGCGCTGCTGCACCTTGGGCTTCTTGACATTCTCCAAGGCGTGCTGCAGGGCGGCCTCGACTGCCTTGCGTGTGATGCCGTGGCTGCCAGCATCAGGGCCATCCTCTGCATCGAGATCCTCGGCCTCGCGCTGGCCAGCCTTGGCGACGAGGTCGTCGATCCACTCGCCGTCGAGGTCGGCGAAGCTGATGCCCTTGCCGTCCATGGCGTCGTCCTTGCTGTCACTCGCCACGGCCGGGGGCTGACCAGGCTGACCATCAGCGCCAGGAGCATCACCACTCTCAGCAGGTTGAGCTGCTTCGGCCGCCGCAGCCTCGGCAGCCTGCTTGGCTTGGCGCTCGACGGCCAGGTCCCGCTGCTTGATGAGCGCGTCGAAATCGCTGAGCACGGAGGGGTTGACGCCAAGCTTCTGCAGCTGGTCGCGGAGCGCAGCTGCGGGGTCATCAGCATCACCGCTGGCCTGCTGCTGCCCCGAGAGCTGGGTGAAGGCGGTGGCCGCACGCTTGGCTGCCTCGCGCTCCTGCGCCTGCAGGGCCACGAACTCGCACTGCAATTTGTGGACGCGCTCGATCTGCAGCATGAGGTGGCCACGAGCCTTGTCCAGGGCCGTCTCGGCCTTCTGCACCTTCGCCTTGAGCGTGTCATGCTCCATCTTGGCCTCCTTCGAGACAGCCATTGGGTCGCCGCTGCGCACAGCACGACGTGCCAGCACCTTGGACCGAACAGCCACAGGAATAAGACCAGAGAGGGCATCAAACTGATCACTATCCATGACCAAGAACGCTTCGAACTGCTTATCATCGAGAGCATCGAATGTGTGGGTGTGCAAAGAGCCCCCTCCACCGCCAGCGCCTCCAGCACGAAGCTTCGGCGGCCCATTAGCCCACGCGCCCGCTGGGGGCTTTGCTGCAACGACACCAGGGGCTGCAGGACGGGGGGCTCCACAACAGTAGCACGTCTTGCGCCACTGGAAGTTGTTCGCGAACTGGCACTTCTTGACCGAGCAGGACCACACCTGCAAGCTCCACGGCTTACGGATGAAGCCACCATCGCTGCGACCATTGGCGCCCATGGGGAAGGGAACTCTGGGCTGTTGCTCCTACAGGAGCTCACTGAAACGCGAAAAAACCTCGCCTGACCCAGGCAAGGAGGTGCACTGTCGGGGGCCGCTGCTTTCCCCCAGGCCAGTAAGGTCAGGTCCGAGCCGAAACCGCTACGGACTTGAGCCAAAATGGCTACGGACTCCTCCTCCTCCTCCTCCTCCTCCTCCTCCTCCTCCTCCTCCTCCTCCTCCTCCTCCTCCTCTCTCCTCCTCTCCTCCCCTCCTCCTCCTCCTCCTCCTCCTCCGCTTCCTCCGCTTCCTCCGCCTCCTCCTCCTCCTCCTCCTCCTCCTCCTCCTCCTCCTCCTCCTCCTCCTCCTCCTCCTCCTCCTCCTCCTCCTCCTCCTCCTCCTCCTCCTCCTCCTCCTCCTCCTCCGCCCGCGCCCTGGAATGAGAAAAGCGTGCCGCCCGCACGCCGTGTCGTGCCGCGCTGTGACGTCACCGAATCGGTCACGATTGTGCACCAGAATGTGATGCTGCCGCGACGACGCGCCACATGCCAACTGCACGTCAACACGATGCCGAGACGACACGTCACCATCGTATGTCGTCGTCACATGCCGAGATGCGACACGTCACCATCATTCGCCGTCGTCGTACTGATCACCACTGTCGTCGTGGGCCGTCTCATGTTCCACACAGCCGCCCTCTTTCTCCGGAGGCCCAGAGAACGCCAAGAGCAAGAACGCCAACAAACGCCAACGTTGCTGCTTCTCGAGCTGGTGTGCTGTGGGCAGTAAGGGTTCCCGAGGAGACAGGGTCCTGGGCACATGGGGCTTCTCTGAAACGACTCTTCATCCCGAACCGTTTCTTGCGACACTCTCGGGGCCTGGCCCGGAAGGGGCATGGAAGACTGCAAACGGCTGAGAACCTCAGGACACCCATGTGGCTGATGGCGATCCTCGCTGGTCGGGGCTGCCCCACGCCCGCCGGCCCTCTCCCGGCCCCCCGCGCCAAGGGACAGCCCACCCCTGCCCCCCCACGCGACGCACCCCCTTCACGCCCGTTGAACAACCGGAAACGGGTCCGAGGATCGCGCCGCGTCACCAAGGGGCTCACGGGGGGATGCGTCGACCCCCAAGCGCCCCTTGCTCGCCCACCCAGGAGCGAGCGGGTTCGCTCTCGCAGGCCTGTCGCCGACCCATCGGCGATGCATCGCCGATTCCAGCTCGATGTCCCCCCCCTCACCCACACCAGCGCTGGCCAGGCCCGGAGACCTCACCGCACGGTCCGTCACCGCACGGTTTTGGGACATCGGAGGCCCCAATCACCCAGGACGTCCTCGGAGAACGACTCCACGGACTCACCAGAAGGTTTGGTCACCGCACCGTTTGGGCGCCCACGAAATCCCTCCTTCACTAGACGAAGCCAGGGCACGAACAAAATCAGACCGGGATACGGGGTAGATCGGGGATCCCTGAGATCCCGCGGTTCTGGAGGTTGTGTCGGACGCCGCGGCCGTGTCAGAGATCTGGAACGCTTTGAAAGCGTTTCGGACAGCACTGAAACGATTCATCCTTGTCCTAGCAAAGCCGGGTTCCCCCTCCACGCCAAACCCCCGAGGCCATGATCTTGCCATGACGTGGGCCCTAAAAAATCCCAACCCATTCCGCGGGACCAGTTTTCATCTTGGAACGTTGTTAGAAGGTCCTGGGGCCCTGTAAAGGCCCCCCAAAGCTGAAAATCATGAAAAACCATCCGTCGTGATTTTGTATCTGAAAAATTCACCCATCGTTCGAAACCCTGGACCACATCTTCCTGCGGCATTCCTCGAGTTGGATCCCTCGGTGAGGGTCACCGGACTCCAAATTGAGCGAACACGCCCAACTCGAAATAATCGAGACGCCAGGATCTCAGGGCCAACGCTGGCCCAGCCCTGGTGGAACCAAGAGATACCGATACTGGGTACTCCCCTGACCTCTCCAAGGGTGCGTTCTGACCAGAATCTCGAGGCGGACCTAGCGGTGGGCGACGAGGGCCTCCCAGGAGGCCCAAAAAGGCGAAAACCGAGGCCAAAGGCAGCTGTATCGGTACCCGTCGGTCGGAAGAAATGGACAAAAACATGAAGTAGGAAGGCTTTGAGGATAGATTGGGTGTCCAACCTCCCCCTGAAGAAGAGGGAAGAGGGAGAACTGATCGACTCTTGAAGTAGAAAAGCGCCCAAAGTCGATGAAGCTCTTGGCATCCGAAAATACCTACTTCCAGCGACAGGCGTGTACCTTCTCCTCCACCGAAGCCCGGAGCAATTGTGGCCGACCAGGGGCTTCTGGCCGTGCGCGATCTCGTCGAGGATGCAACGGACGCCCACCTGCCGCAGGGGCGCCGCTGCAAGGCGCGCCGGCCGCTTCCGGCTCAGGGGCGGCCCCGCCCCCCTGTGTGTTTTTTGTTGTGATTTGTGTTTTTCCCCATCATCCTGTGGTGTTGGGTCCTCGTTTTGAATAGACAGCGCCCCGCGTCTCCTTCCTTCCTTCCTTCCTTTCTCCTCCCCCTCATCCCTTTTCCGTCCTCCCTCCTCCCTCCTCCCCCTCCCCCTCCTGGCCTTTGCTCTCGGCACACCTCTCACACGTTTCGTAGCCCCATAGGAAGCTCCACCGAAGGTCCCAGTGGCACAGCCCGCATGCGGTTCCCTCACCCAGGGCAGCGTTCCGTGGCCCCATAGGAAGCTCCACCGAAGGCCCCAGTGGGGGTGCCCGCATGCGATTCCCCCACCCGGGGCAGCGTTTCGTGGCCCCATGAGGAGCTCCACCGTAGGCCCCAGTGGGGGTGCACGCATGCGGTTCCCCCACCCAGGGCAGCGCTTCGTGGCCCCATAGGGAGCTCCACCGAAGGCCCCAGTGGGGGTGCCCGCATGCTGTTCCCCCGCCCAGGGCAGCGTTTCGTGGCCCCACAGGGAGCTCCACCGCAGGCCCCAGTGGGGGTGCCCGCATGCGGTTCCCCCACCCAGGGCAGCGCTTCGTGGCGCCATAACGAGCTCCACCGAAAGCCCCATTGGGGGGGTGCCCGCATGCGGTTCCCCCACCCAGGGCAACGTTTCGTGGCCCCCGCATGCGGTTCCCTCACCCAGGGCAGCGTTCCGTGGCCCCATAGGAAGCTCCACCGAAGGCCCCAGTGGGGGTGCCCGCATGCGATTCCCCCACCCAGGGCAGCGCTTCGTGGCGCCATAACGAGCTCCACCGAAAGCCCCAGTGGGGGGGGGCCCTTATGCGGTTCACCCACCCAGGGCAACGTTTCGTGGCGCCATAAGGAGCTCCACTGAAGGCCCCAGTGGGGTTGCCCGTTCCCCCACCCAAGGCAGCGTTTCGTGGCCCCGCAGGGAGCTCCACCGTAGGCCCCAGTGGGGGTGCCCGCATGCGGTTCCCCCACCCGGGGCAGCGCTTCGTGGCGCCATAAGGAGCTCCACCGTAGGCCCCAGTGGGGGTGCCCGCATGCGGTTCCCCACCACAACCACTGCGGCAGGCCCCTCACACTGTTCGTGGCCCCATAAGGAGCTCCACCGAGGACTAGATTGACAACTGCGGTACTCACAACTGCATATGGTTGGGTCCTAGGCCAGGCTAATTTTTGAGGGCTGGAGCTAAACGTTGTTGTCCCCCATATCCTAAGATGGGGTTGTTGCTATTCCCCACATGTTTCGTGGGGATCTGGTTTTCATCCCTGCCGCGTCGCACCCGCGACCCTCACCTCACCTCCCCTCCCCCTCCTTCTCCTTCTCACACAGCGCAGCGCAGTTCAGCACAGTACAGCTCAGGTCAGCACAGCACAACTCAGCACAGCACGGGGTGGTCCCTGAGCGCGGCCGCTATCCGTGACGGTCGCCCAGGGTACAGCAGGCGTGGCGTTTTCTCGACACCACACGGGGAGCGCACGGGGTGGTCCCCGTGCGCGGCCGCTATCTGTGACGGTCGTCCAGGGCACAGCAGGCGTGGCGTTTTCTCGACACCACAAGGGGTGCGCACGGGGTGGTCCCTGAGGGCGGCCGCTATCCGCAACGGTCGTCCAGGGCACGGCTGGCGTGGCGATTTCTCGACACCATACGGGGTGTGCACGGGGTGGTTCCTGAGCGCGGCCGCTATCCGTGACGGTCGTCCAGGGCACAGCATGCGTGGCGTTTTCTCGACACCACACGGGGTGCGCACGGGGTGGCCGCTATCCGTGACGGTCGTCCAGGGCACGGCAGGCGTGGTGTTTTCTCGACACCACATGGGGTGCACACGGGGTGGTCCCTGAGCGCGGCAGCTATCCGTGACGGTCGTCCAGGGTACAGCAGGCGTGGCGTTTTCTCGACACCGCCCGGGGTGCGCACGGGGTGGTCCCCGTGCGCGGCCGCTATCCGCAACGGTCGTCCAGGGCACAGCAGGCGTGGCGTCTTCTCGACACCACCAGGGGTGCGCACGGGGTGGTCCCTGAGCGCACCGCTATCCGTGACGGTCGTCCAGGGCACAGCAGGCGTGGCATTTTCTCGACACCACACGGGGTGCGCACGGGGTGGTCCCTGAGCGCGGCCACTATCCGCAACGGTCGTCCAGGGTACAGCAGGTGTGGCGTTTTCTCGACACCACAGGGGGTGCGCACGGGGTGGTTCCTGAGCGCGGCCGCTATCCGTGACGGTCGTCCAGGGCACGGCAGGCGTGGCGTTTTCTCGACACCACCGGGGGTGCGTACGGGGTGGTCCCTGAGCGCGGCCGCTATCCGTGACGGTCGTCCTTGCGATATCGGCGGGGCAACGGCCACCAACATCATTCCCTCATGCTTCTTTTCATCTATCATCATCCCAACCATAACATAAGTATGTGGGGCTCCTCGGTAGCGTAATTACTTGGACGCCTCCTACTCCTCACTCATCTTCTTCTGCTCTTCCTCCTCCTCCTCCTCCTCCTCATCCTTTCCCTCCTCATGCCTAGATTTACTCATACACAGACTTACTCATACTCAGACTTACTCATACTCGGACATTTACTCGTACTCGGACCTACTCAAACTCAGACCTACTCATACTCAGACTTACTCCTGCTGAGAGTCAATCATACCCAGACTTACTCATACTCCGACCTTCTCATTGTCTTACTTACTCAACTCACAGCAGATTGTGAGAATGTCTCAGGCGGGGCGCTGGTTTCAGCACCCCTCAGGGGAGCCTCCGAGGGGTATTGCACGGTCCCGTTCGAGGCCGTTTTGTGGGGATGTCTCAAGCGGTTTGCCTGCTTTCTGTCTCAACATCCTTCGCTTGGAGAGCAGATTGTGAGGATGTCTCAGGCGGGGCGCTGGTTTCAGCAGCCCTCAGGGGAGCCGCTGAGGGGTATTGCACGGTCCGTTTTGTGGGGATGTCTGAAGCGGTTTGCTTGAATTCTGTCTCAACATCATTCGCTTGAAAAGCAGATTTAGAGGATGTCTCGAGCGAGGCGCTCATTGTCACCTCCAGGGTGGGCCAGATTTTGAGGAGGTCTCGATCGGCTTGCTTGTTTGGTGGCCAGACTCGTGGGCACATATTCTCCTCAGGATGCCACAGGAGGCTCCAACAGGCCCCAGGAGGCCACATGAGGTCCCAGGACGCATCAGGAGGCCACAGAAAGACTCAAGAGGCCACAGGATGTCCCAAGAGGCTCCAGGAGGTCCCAGGAAGCTCCAGGAGGCCTCAGGAAGCCACAGGAGGCCCCAGGAGGCCACAGGAAGCGCCAGGAGGCCTCGGAAGGCAACAGGAGGCCCCGAGAGGCCCCAGGAGCAGGAGGCTTCAGAAGGCAACAAGAGTGGATCCAATATCATGTGTTTTATGTATGTTCCTATATATCAGGCCTCACCTGGAGCACGAATCCTTGATGTTACACGTATGCGTCTATAGATTGTCCTTCTCTTGTGTACACAATCCTAAATGTGTTACGTATGTTCCTATAGATTGGGCCTCTCCTGGGGCACGAGTCCTTGGTGTTTTACGTGTGTTCCTATAGATTGCCATTCTCCTGCGGCTCCAGTCCGCAATGTTTTATGTACGTCTGTTCCTATATATTGGGCCTCTCCTGGTGCACGAATCTCCCCTGGGAGGTCCCAGGAGGCCCCAGGAGGCCCCAACAGGCTCCTGGAGACCCCAGGAAGCCCCAGTAGGTTTCAGGAGGCCCCAGGAAGCCCCAAGCTCATGCGCAGAGACGCGCTCGTACTACTCAGGCTCATTCACACTCCAATTCATTTGCAGTTAGATTCATAACCAGACCGTCACAACTCAAGCCCGCTCATATGCGAAAACTCTTGCGCCTAGACACTCACGGCGGACAGGTCCGTGCGAATAGGTGCACATATGGGGAGCTCCACGCAGTGAATATTTCGACTTGTTTCCTTTTTGTTGCTTGTTTTACCCTACCTCATGGGGGCACGCGAAGGACACGACCAGACCGCGCGCTCGCGGCGACGCTCAACGGCGCTCGAGGCCGCGCGCCGCCGCTCGAGGGCGCCGGGCGCGCACGCGCGCGCCTGTGCTCCTGCACCTCCCTCCCGAAACGAAGAGCAAAACACGGCCGAAGTCCAGTGCAGCATCGCCCAGGTCGGTTTTTGTTGGGTCTGCATGGAGGCCCCTCCTCCGTCTTCGCGGCCGCCCTCGCCCCGTCTTCCCCTCCTCCTGCCGCCGGGATGGAGCTGCGCTCTCCGCTGCCCAGACACCGCTGGAGCGCTTCTGCGGACTGCCGCTGCCGCGCGCGGCGGCGCAGAAATCGTCTGCAGGAAGGCCCGGCGATGAGAGTGGCCAGCCAGCTTCCAAGCTGATGGGTAGGGGGCTCCTCGGGCGTTGCTACATAGTACTGGTGGGGGACAAGCGTGCACCTTCCACGCCCCAGTTGGGTCCCAGGGGCCCCCGTGAGGGCCTCATGGGGGCACACCACGTGCACCTTCATTCGCCCCCCCATTGATCGCACCCCGCTGAATGAACGCCCGAACTCCACCACGCTAGCACAGGCCGGAAAGGAAGAGCAGAAGGGGAGGAGAGAGGGAGACAGAGAGAGAAAGAGAGAGAGAGAACCGAGAAGCGAGGTGCCCAATGCGGCCGACTGGCGGCTAGCACTGGACACGAGCTGCACAAGCACAAGACACGAGCTGCACAAGCGGCCACCCGGCCCCGGCGCTGCTGAAGGCTTCCAGAACGGCATCAGAGTGCTCCCCGAGGACCGCCGACCGCCGAGGTCAAGAAGCAAAAACCGCTTCGCTCCCCCCGGAAAACGTAGTCTAGCATACTCACCTTGTTCGTCTTGACAGCGCCCAAGACAGCCCAAGGGGCTCCCGAGATCGTCCCAAGACGGCCACTGAAATTTCCAAGAGGGCCCCAAAACG